TTTCTTTTCTTTTTTTTTTGGAGAGATTTTCACTGTAGGGCGCGTGCGCTCGCCAGACAGACAGAGAGAGACATAGAGACAGAAAGCGAGAAATCACCCCCCAGGGGGGGTGGCCACACCGCAATCCCTTCTCCTCCATTCTCCTCTCGGGATCTTGGGCACGCACGCACACGCGCCTGGCGTGAGTTTTAAGCCACCGGGTCCGGGACACGAACCGCGGTTGACTACGTGGGAGTCCAGCGACATAGCCATTACGCTAACTGCTGGTTCCACATTTTTCTTTTGAATTAAAAAAAATATTTGCCAGAGGGTGCATGCACTTACCAGAAAGAGACAGAGAGAAAGTGAGAAAATCCCCCCATAGGGAATGGTCCTGCCATAATCCTCTCTCCTTCAGGATTCAAGGCACACACAATACCGGCATGTTTCGCAAGCTGCCTGGTCTAGGATTTGAACTGTGCAGTTGGACATATAGGATCCAGCTGCCTTAACCACCATGCCATGGACTAGCACAGTCATGAACTTTTCAAGAAATCAAAGAAATTAGCAACTTCTATTTTGTCTCTTGGAACATTCTCTCTGGGGGAAGCCAGTACTATGTAAGAAGTCGAACTGTCCCAAGACCACCACACTGTGAGAATCCCACGTCAGACCTGTGGAGAAAGACACCCAGCTACCCTGGCCAAACCATCCCAGGCACCAAATCATCCACCCGAAGGAGCCAGCTTGGCCATTCCAGCCCCAGAAGATGGGACATGCCAGGCAAAAGCCAGATCCACGGCCCAGACACATGGCCCCACTTGCGAAATCCCTGTGGTCTTCAGCCATCCATGCTGAAGCCCCACCCCATCACACAGCAGAGGCAGGTTGTTTCCATTGTGTCCTGTCCAAATCCTGACTCACAAAATCATGAATATAACAACATGTTTATTTTATTTTTTGAATAACTTTAATTTTATTTATTATTAATTTTCAATTTGACCAGAGAGAGAGAGTGGGGAAGTGAGAAAGCAAGCTGCCAGGTCTGAGACTCAAACCACAGTTGGCCATGTGGGAATTCAGCAGCTGAACCACTGCAGGCCCTCGAAATGCTTATTTTAAGCCACAGGGACGGCTTATTACATGACAATAGATACAAGCATTTCGCGTCATGACTTTTCCTACAACCCAAAAGAACAGGAGGTTCCTGTGATAGTTTTGTGACGGTTGGGAAGGCTGAGCTCCTCACTAAATGAACATGTGGGCCCTCCAGTCCACACGTTTGTTTCTGTGGGTTTAGCCAGCGTAGGTGGGTCCCCGATTGTCTGCCTGTGCAGGATGTATTGATAAGGTTTAGTATCCGAACCTGAAACACTGATAACTGAAGGGCCAGACTTGATCGATCTGCACACCTGGCTCAATGTCTCTCCTCCACTCTATCTCACGTCAAGGATGGAGGTCCTTACGTTGGAGCAGCGAGGTCCTCAGGGAGTGATGTTTTAACCCTCTCTAGGTACACTGTTCCCCTCCCCACGCCACGTGTCAGAACTATGAGCCCAAGAGGAAAGTTTCTAGATGAAAGAGCAGCCACTGGACAAGATAGAGGACGTAACTCTGGCTGGGGTCGATTTTGCCCTAGAAGTCCTCAATCATTTTCTCGCTCAGCCTCCACTCTCAGTGCAGCGTTCTGTGGAACATGGCTCAGATCTTCTCCACTCTGGATGCTGCTACGTGTGAGCCTTTGCCACCTACAGCCCTCGCATGTCCCCTGTCCAATCCGCCCTACTGCAAAGTCACAGCCTGAACGGTGCTCCCCAGAGCACCCATGGCTGCTCACGGGCCCACCATGGAGCTCAGAGGAACTGGGTCTCTGCCTCTGACCACCAAGGCCATCCTCAAATGCCTGTCCCATCCCGGCCCCTACATGTTCTCATGATTTCTTTTAAGTTTATGTATTCATTTCTTTCTTTTTTCTTTTCTTTCTTTCTTTCTTTTTTTT